GTCGAGACTCTATCATCCTAGGCTCAAACCTAGGCTCTGATAGCAACTGTAACACCCCCGATTTCCATACCAAATTAAACCTTAAACACGCAGATAAACTAACCATAAAACGTACACAGCGGAAGACTAGATATGAAATAGATGGAAAACGTAGAGTGTCATGGCACACTCACACAACGGTGAACACACAGGCGTAAACATCTGCAACATAATCTATCAATCTCAAAAGCAAAGTCAACGACATAACGTCTAAAGTCTAATCAAAGGCACGCAGGCCCAAATCATCATAAAGAAAAGGGGATCTACTCTAACAGCTTCTAGACCGCGCCCTCATCTAATCAGCACCTGAAAGAAACACAGATATATATATATCGGACGACGCCCGGTCAGCGAATGATGCTGGTAACCCACCAATACATGTGAAATATCATATGTAGATAGTTTATATATATATGAAATCATTTCGAAATGTGATATAATATATATCACTTTAAAACTAAGATAGAGATCAACATAAGACTCTTTGCACTCACAATAAAGACAAGGGAACACATCCCAACAACAAGAAGCAATAACAACTCACAATAACGGCTCAAGGCATAATCTACCATCACACTGTAGATTAACACCCGGCATGCATAACACAAGAGAATAAGGACACAACCATTGGCAACACATGCCTTTGTGACAACACATGTCACAAATTGAGAATCACACACAACAACGGCTACACAAGCCTTCGTGACATCACCCATCACGAATTGAGATGCTTTGCTTATGCCCGGTTCCAACCTTATGGCTACCCCCAACCTTATAGCTAGTTCCAACCATTACCTCCAGGACCCCTGTACACCAAGTCCAACCTTTTCCCTACGAGGACCGTCGTCCCCATCCGCCAGCGACCGCCAACAAATCCGCCAATTTCATAGTACACGAGGGTACCGATCACACACATGGCAACACATGCCTCCCAAGAAATACGTGAACCGGACACACAGGTCACAAACTCCATAATCACGTCATGGCCACCACGAGGACCACTGCCGTACCTTGGTGACTAATGTCCCATACCATTAATCGTGCAATCCAGGTACAGCCACACACACGACACCACAACAGGAATCAATCAACGGATCACAACGAAGATATGAAACCATACTCAATCAAGGAATGGATCACAGTCCAACAACAACGATGATTAACACAAGTCATCATCAACAATAGGAAAGGACAAACAACACACATGCTAGCATTTAAACACCGAACTAGCATGGTTATCAAACGGGTAAACCAAACATAGTTCCGAAGAACACACAAGACTCATCACGATTCAACGAATCACAAGGTTGAACACTTAGCACGATTCAAGACACCAAAACTTACATGGATTCCTACCATATAGTTCTAGACATATGAAACATCAAGAAGACGCTCAAGTAGTTCCACAAAAGAACATCGGGAAGTCAAAAGACCAATTACCGAGTCAAAAGAATCACGGGGAACAAATCCCCGAACAAGCCAACATTGTCCCCCGCGGGTGGGCCCACGGGTGGACCCCTACCGGTGGTACCGCCCGCGGGTACCACACCCATACAACCATATACCCCGCGGGTGGGGCGACGGGTGGTGCACTACCCGCCGTTCCGCCCGTGGGTACATCACCTGTACAAAAATAATCCCTTCGGGGATTTTCAACTCCAAGCTCAAATTCAAGTTCAAAACATGCCAAATCTCACCAAATACAACAAAATGACTTGAATTAAAGGAATGGCCAAGCAATGGCTAACATGAACCCTAATAACAAGCTCTAGATATGCATTTTCACAAGACAATGCATCAACACTCACATTTCATAACAAAATCACATGTACAATCCAAGAAATCATCATATATGTAAGCAAAATAGATTTTGTAGAGCATGGGTTACCTCTTGTAGACAAAAACCTTCACATAACACTTCACACCTAGCTCCTAATAAGGTTCACCTTCCACACCCACTTCAAGAACTCACCAAAAGATCATAAAGATTCTATCTTTAGGGAAAGACACCTTAGAAAACACAAAAAACACAAGAAAACATAGATCTTACCCTCCTAGATGCTCAAAGGTAGGAAAGGTGGAATCTTGAAAACAAACTTTGAGGATGTGGTAAAGCTTCAACTTGACTTGGAAGAAGAGCTATCTAACTTTTAGAGAGAAGGAGGAGCTCAAGTTTGGAAAGTGTAAGGGAAAGAATGAAGGGTGATCCTCTAGGTTAGCTTGCAATTCTAACATAGGGTGAAATTTCTTGATTATCTTTGTAACACCCCGAAATTTTGAAACTTTTAAACCTTATATAATAAAGGTGATTTCTCATTAAATCCCAAAATCAACATAAGAGTGCGGGGTGATATGCCACATCTGAGCTGGAAAACTCAGATGCACAGGCTAAACTAACTAAACAACCTCAAAGCAATGTCAATACATAATCATGGCACGCAGGCCGAAAGGGAAACTAACTAATCTACGCTTCGGATCTGTAGCGCGCTCCGGTGTCTACTCATCTGTGCCAGAAAGCCAAATATATCTGTTCAGGGAATGATGCTGGTAACCCACTCCAACGCGTTGAAATACAATATAGGTATATATATATATAGATATACTGTAACACCCCAGTTTTTCAAGATATTTAAAACTTATAAAATAAAGGTGAAATCCCATTAAATCCCAAAACATAATACAAGAGTACGGGGTGCTATGCCACACCTGAGCTAGAGAACCCAGGTGCATAGGCTAACTATCTAATATCCTTAGCAATGTAAATGCATAAACATGGCACGAAGGCCGAAAGGGAAACTATCTACTTTTACGTTCCAAGTTCTAGCGCGCTCTGGTGACTTATTCTTCTGTGCCTGAAAGCCAAATATATCTGTTCAGCGAGAGATGCTGGTAACACACTCCAACGCGTTGAAATACAATACATATAGAGATATATATAGATATACAAAAACCATTTTGAAGCATGAAGATATATCCTACGAGACTCTAGCTTTTAAAACCGGGAATGACTCGACAGATAAGGCTAGACCCAAGCAACAGTTATAACAGGCGTATACAATCCTCAATAGGCAAGACAGATAAAGCTGAGCACAAATAAATAATCATAACCCAATGTAAACAATCCCCAGCATAAATCCCTTAGTCACGTCCCCCAATATACTCATAAACACAACTCCTCCATATCTCATCACATAGCACACTTTGTGGGCGCCACAGGACCAATCGCACGCCCATACATGAGGGTCAGCGCATATAGCTCTGACACGGCCCCGCAACACCCTGCCCCGTCTCACATTACGGAGGAGCCGATCGCAACCGACTGATGGACCTTTGTCCTACATAATATTTATAGACCTGACCGGTCTTTACCAGCCTGGTTAACAGTTGGGATGGTTCTCAGCCCATTCAACTGCATGTATAGTGGACCTTTGTCCTATATAATATTTATATACCTGACCGGTCTCTACTAGCCTGGTTAACAGCCGGTATGGTTCTCAGCCCATCCGACTGCCCGTATAGTGGAACTTAGTCCTATATAATATTTATATACCTGACCGGTCTCTACCAGCCTGGTTAACAGCTGGTTTGGTTCTCAGCCCACGCGACTGCCCGTATAGCCCGATTGATCTCAACCAATTCGGGGTGACACGCACACATAACACGTATAAGACTCATACAACCTACGAACGGTACCCGAAATATCAAACTAGACATAGGCACGATAGACGGAGTCCGTTGGGACACCACGGGGGTCGGGGAAACATCAAACGGGGAAGCCAAAATCCCCAATTGGGGTGCAAACCAGCGGGTAGCCGGTGGGTGAGGGATCACCCGCCGGCCGCCCGCCGGCGGTAACAAAACCGGGCAGCGGGTGCCCGGCGGGCAGCTGCCCGCCCGCCGGCTGCCCGCCGCCGGCGTTGCCCAAGGAGGCCGCGGGTAGGTGGCAGGTCCCCTACCCCCACCTACCCCCCACTAACTCTTTTCATCAAGAAACGCCCCGGGAACCTTTGTGGAACCCGAAACCATGCTTGGACACTTTCAAACGCAATTAATAACACACGTAGACAATTAACGGATCAAAATCAGGAAACAATCGGCACATAACCTATCATGTTTTTCTAAACGTAATAAACACCCAATCATGCGAATTCCCACCCAATATACCAAGAATAATTCCATACAATACAACCTAGGGTTCTAATCACTTTTATGCCAACAAGAATACGATTCGTCTTCTAATTACCAGATTCGGTACAAATAACACATAAGTATCAAGAACGCCATACAATTATCAAGAACAACATATAATCATCAAGAACTCCACGTAATCGTTAAGAACACCATAATTATCAAGAATCTCCCGATATCAAGATCACCCATGGAATCATCCCATCAATCATCAATAATAACATCACAAATCATTAATACACAATAATACGGGGGAATCCTATGGGGGAAATCATAGCTATGAAAATAGGTTTTGTTGAGACATGGGTTTCCTCTTAGCCTTAATTAATTCCTTGGCTATGAAGGGTCTTTCTTTAAGCTTTCTTGCTTTCTTGATTTCTTCTAGGGGGATTCTTGGAGCTCTTTGGGGAGGTGGGGCGTTATTCTTGTGGGGGATTTCTAGGTGCCTCTTAAGTCCCCTATTTATATATTTAGGAGTGCTAGTTAGGAACTAATATTATGGGCTTGCTAGTTCTATTTCTTTTGGGACTAAGGATTGGGTTTAGGGATAAGGGCCCGTGGACTATGGTGGGCCTTCCTAATTAATTATTGTGATTTAATTCTTTCTTTTGGGTAATTGATTAAATGATTTAATTGCGTGGTTTCCTTCGATTTTCCTTTTGTGTCCCAGGCGTGTTTCCTGTAGCTTGCCCGATATTTGTTATAGTTGGAATGTCTTGGCATAGGCTTCTTCAAGAGTTCTTGGTTTTCGTATGGTTAGGGCCTTCTGGTTCTCAAGGGTCGAGGCCTACTATAAATTTCTCAATTTTGATTGTCTCTGTAGGTACCAGTTCGGGGGTGAAGCGAGCTAGCTTGAGGAACTGCCGGTAGTATTCTGCGATTGGGGTTGCTCCTTGTTTTAAATGGAGGAATTCTTCGTATATGGTCGCTTTCATGTGACTAGGGTAGAATCGTTCCCGTAGACGTGTTTTTAGGGTTTCCCAGTTGAATCTCGGGCTTCGTTCGCAACTATGTTTCTCGTGGACCCACCAGATATCGGCGTCGTGTCTGAAGTAGAAGGAGGCCGTTTCTACTTGGTGGCTCTCTGGGCATTCCTTTGCTCTGAATATTTTGTCAAAGGTTCCGATCCATTCTTCGAGAATTGTGGGGTTTTCATCCCCTGAGAAGGCAGGCGGTTGGTGTTCTGAGACTTGGCGGTGAATTTCCAAGTTTCTGTTTGGTGGCGACGGTTGAAGGACTGCGTTGCTTAGTTTCTGGGCAATTTGGGCCAGACGTTGCAGATTCTGACTCAAGGATTCTTGTGTGGGGAGTTCCGGTGCTTTTGCCTGTTTCCTTTTTGGTGCCATCCTGGGGTTCATAGGCCGATATTATTTTGCATCCTAACCTTGATGCTTTGAGTGTAGGGGGAGTTCATTTAAATTAAGTGCGAATTAGGGCGAGGGAAAGTTTAAGGTCTCACAATCTCACCGCGCGTCCTATGATCTCTAAATCCTATCTTACTGAACTCCTAGAGTTTTAAGCCAAATGTCCTAAAATCTGGTCTTAAGAGTCTTATCCTAGGGTCAAACTTAAGCTCTGATACCAACTGTAACACCCCGAAATTTTGAAAAATTTAAAGCTTATATAATAAAGGTGAATTCTCATTAAATCCCAAAATCAACATAAGAGTGCGGGGTGCTATGCCACATCTGAGCTAGAAAACTCAGATACACAAGCTAAACTAACTAAACAACCTCAAAGCAATGTCAATACGTAATCATGGCACGCAGGCCGAAAGGGAAACTAACTAATCTACGCTCCCGATCTCTAGCGCGCTCCGGTGTCTACTCATCTATGCCTGAAAGTCAAATATATCTGTTCAGCGAATGATGCTGGTAACCCACTCCAACGCGTCGAAATACAATATAGGTATATATATATATATATATATATATATATATATATATATATATATATATATATATATATATATGTTCAAATGAGGACAATAATATATAGAGGACTGTGAGGACAAATAATGGGCACACAACAAATTAATACCAAGCACACAACTTAATACATAATGGCACACAAGAATAAATGTAAACATCATGTTTCGAACCTAGGCTCTATAAATTAACAAATCTAGCGCGCGACATACAAACTGTGGCACACGACTACATTCGGCCATGCACACGACATACCGGCTAATGGCACACACTACATTTGTCCTCACAGTCCTCTATAATATACTTGTCCTCATTTGAACGCAAGTATATACCTGTTCAAATGAGGACAGGTATATTATAGAGGACTGTGAGGACAGATGTATTGTATGCCATTAGCCTGTATGTCGTGTGCATGGCCGAATGTAGTCGTGTGCCACAGTTTGTATGTCGCGTGCATACATTTGTTAATTAATAGAGTCTGGGTTCGAAACCTGATGCTTACATGTATTCTTATGTGCCATTATGTATTAAATTGTGTGCCTGATAGTAATTTGTTGTGTGCTCATTATTTGTCCTCATAGTCCTCTATATATCGTTGTCCTCATTTGAACTCAACCTATATAGGGTTGAGTCCAAATGAGGACAACAATATATAGAGGACTGTAAGGACAAATAATGGGCACACAACAAATTAATACCAGGCTCACAACTTAATACATAATGGCACACAAGAATAAATGTAAACATCAGGTTTCGAACCCAGGCTCTATAAATTAACAAATCTAGCACGCGGCATACAAACCGTCGCACAAAACTACATTCGGTCATGCACACGACATACCTGCTAATGGCACACACTACATCTGTCCTCACAGTCCTCTATATAGAGGCTCTCTCGCGGGGGTTGCAAATTAAATTCCAACTAGAGATGACTTCGGAAAGGCTTGATTCAAGCCGGCTCGTGTGCACCGGCACCTAGGGGCACGAATGTCGTCCGGAAATTGGCTGGCCTTGCGGGCTAAGTTATGCCAACTTTCGGTATCATATTTTCCAACACAATAGTCACTTGGGTTCGGCCAAGACCGAGACGAGCTCGGAATGATTTCGGCCTCCCACAATAGCCACTTGGGTTCGGCCAAGACCGGGACGAGCTCGGAATGGTTTCGGCCATGGGAGGCTGAAACCTGATAGTTTCGGTCTGAACCATGGTTTCGGCCTTGGGAGGCCGAAACCTGATAGTTTCGGCCAGACCGAAAAAGAACGCAGCAATGTTTCGGCCTAGGGCCGAAATTTGGTGAGGCTGAAGGCCAACAGTCCATTAACTCCAGTTTTGAATTGTGAATTTAATTTTGTTAATGGGGGTTGCTGTTTCAAATGTTATACAACGTGTAATTAAGGCCATGATAAATTCTATTAAGTACTGCTCCCCTATATAAGAAGGGGTAGAAGGTAGAAGCTTTACACACTACGAACAAGTACAAGAGCTGTACACGAAATTAGTTTTCAAGCTTCAAAACCTTCTGCTTCTACTCCTTTCTTTAGCCTAACTGTGTTCAAGGCTTTTACTCTAGTTCGCCGGGTACGCTCGTTTGGGTGCTCGAACGTCGAACCGTAGCGCATTTTATCCTGGGAAACCTAGGCCACGGCGCTCCTAGCACTTTTGGGAGGTGGCAAATAAGGTTTTAAGGAAAGAGTGGTCTCTTGACTCACGCTAAAAACCCTATACCCATACACGAGCCTTTTTTTTTCCTTCTTTCGGTTTTGGATTATGCTTCTAAGCAAAAATCCTCTCTTCTTTTGATATATTCGTTGGATTGGAATTATAATCAAGAGGATTATATGTTCTATTTTTTTTTTTGGGTTGATATATATTGGTATATCTTTTTCGTAGATATACATGTATATATAACCGTTGGTTCCGATTTATATATATTTGTGTGTAAATATATATATTTCGAAAAAATATCCAATAATATTTTATATACTCGTGTGTGTATATATAAATATTATTTTTGGGATATTAAATCCATTCTGGTTCATTATCACCAACGGTCTTAAAACCTTATTTTTTTTATAATGAACAAGTCGATGGATTCCAAAAGTGTTGGATCCGTGAATGTTGCCGGAGGTGCACATTCAAATGGTCGGACCGGCAATGATGTTGCACATTCCGTGATGCCGGTTGACGGCAACAACGTTGGAAATGTTGTTTCCATGGGAGTTGCAAAGACACACGATGGTGCTCCGGAGAACGTTGGTTCACGATCCGGTAGACCAGTGGCAAATGGCACTCAATTGGTACCTATTGTGTTGCCTACTGGATCGGCTGAAACCCATGAAGGATCCTATGATGCTGTGATCACTACATGGTCTGAGGACTATTGTAGTGTGACCAATGACTTCAACCGTAATCAAAGGAAACTTAAGCGGAAGCTTAGCTTTCAAGAAGATTATGAGAAGAAGAAGAAATGCCACTGCGAAGCGAACCGTCATCCTGGTGAAAAGGTTGAGGACAACTTCGCTATGTTTAAAACATGTGGATGGTTGGACGAGTGAGGTCACAACCAAGGTACCCCCGATGTGCGCTATAAACCACCCTCGTGGAGTGGACGGTTGGAAAATGGAACAAGGCACACATGTTAAAGTATTACTACGAGATATGAAAAATAAAATTTGTTTCCAATATAATTTTCCTATTTATTTATTTGTTAAATAAATGTTGTAGTATCCTTGTGATACATTTTTTATTGTTGAATAAAAAAATGAATTGTTCAATTGAGCTATTGAATCATAGTACATACGAATTATTTGATGAAATAATGTTGAATGTATGAAATGATTCAATATGGGTGCGTAGTGCATCACGTAGCATTATGTGGAAAATGCTAAAATGGCTTAACGGCTGGAACGAAATGTAACAAGGGTGTTACATGTTTGAAATCCCGTAAAAGGATTACGGTCCTGGTCCATGTAGATCGATGAGGATCTCAATGATCAATTTGTCAAAAATTGGGATAGCTATATAATCGTGAGCATCACAGCTCAATTGTTGAATATTTTAATTAATATTCTGAGAACGATTATATAAGCTCGATTCAACTAGTCAGAAAATTTGGTTGATTTGTTCTCGTTAATTGTGTGATAATTAACTTGATCAAAAATTCTAAATTATACTAGTATATTTAATTTGAGACAAATTGTGTTTTGGTGAATAGTGCTTTTGTAGCACTGATAAAAAGTGCAATTTAATTTGGCACTTTGAAGTGCAAATTAAAACACTGTAACAGTGCTATTAAGCACTAAGTAGAGTGCTTATTTAGGCACTCTTGGCCACTTGATGGCTACACCTTTAGGTGTTGAAAACTTAAGCATTTGGTGCTTTGGTAATAGCAATAAAGGTGTTAGAGTATGATTGGTGTTAATGCTAATTAGCTTAAACCTTTCGTATGTGGCTAATTAAATTTAGCGTTGTAAAAGTGCTATGTAATTAGCACGAAAGGAAGTTTGGTTAATTGTGTAATTAACTAATAATCCTAGTGCCAGGTAGCACTGTAATTATAAATTAAACAACGAAAGGTTGTTGTGAGTTTATAATTTAAAGCAATAGAGATTGCTTTGGAATCGGTGCGTTAGTTTGGCAGCAATGATTCGTGCTTTGTGTAGCATGTTTCATGCTTCACTAATAAGCACTGATTCGTGCTTCAATTTCGGAAGCAGTGGTTCGAGTTTGTGGCCTTTCGGTCAATCCCAAATGGATTCGTAAGTGCTGATCTGTTCACACCTACGAGATGTGCTAACGCGTAGCACATGTTTATTCTTTATAAGAATATAAGAATAAAGAGAAAAACCAAATTAATCATGGATTAATACGGTTACGAACGATCGATGTAATGAATATGAAACACCTATTGGTGATTTCGGCGCAAGCATTAGTGTCGTACTCGAGCGTACGGTACGATATTCATCTCAATCGAACGTTGTTGCCGAACATAAATATCAAGACGTTGATAAGTTCAGGCCTACCTCAAAGTATGTGGGGTGAGACAATACTTTGGACAAGTAAGTACCTTTTAAATAAGGTTACCCGCATGAAATTCTTACGAATTGTGGGTACGTAGGAAGTTTCCTACTAATGCCTGAAATGTGGGGGTGTCTTGCCAAAGGTGTGTACTGGTTCTTAGTACACGAGTCCAAGAGTTTGGATGTATATAAGAACACGAAAGATTGATTCAAGAAATTCATCGTTCTTGGAAGATGGTTTTTTGTGAAGGATCAATAAAGGACCTAGCACGTTGAAAGGAACTTTCGGCGTAGCTATGGTTGAAGGGTGTGAAAGAGAACCCGAGCTCAAAGCTAGACGTAGCAAGAGAGCTAGGATTGAAAAATCCTTTGGTCCAGATTTTCTGACATACATGTTA